TGCCCCTTCCCCAGAAGCGGCTGTGTTTTCTTTCAGGACCTGCATGGCTCTGACCTCTGCTTGTCCTCTCCTTGCAGTGCTGGGATCGGCCGCACTGGGACCATCATCGTCATTGATATGATCGTGGAAACAATCTCCACCAAGGGTAAGAGGACCCCAAAGGGTCTTGAAGTGAATTGGCCCTACCCAGCAGGGCTGTGCCCTTAAGTCCAGCTGCAAACAGAGGGAAACTCTCAGGTATCAGTGGGGGAGATCCTGCCACAGCCCCAAGAAGGTTGTGCTGTCCTTGCTATGTGGTGGCTGCTGGATCTCTGCCCCGTGTTCATTTACGTATGGAGGGAAGTGGAAACTTTTTGACTGACCTCCACTGTCACTGCTTTTGGTGGAGAACTGGGAGAGACAGGGGGGTCAGTGAACGTGTCCACAAGCTTTTCTGGTGCCCCTTGCTAGGGCTGGACTGTGACATCGACATCCAGAAGACCATCCAGATGGTGAGGGCTCAGCGCTCGGGGATGGTGCAGACAGAGGCCCAGTACAAGTTCATCTACATGGCCATCTGCCAGTTCATCGAGACGACCAAGAAAAAGCTGGAAGTTATCCAGGTGAGAAAGGGGGTCCTGTGAGTCTGGGTCCTGCATGGCACTGGATCTGAGCCCAAGTGCTCTGTTTCCTAAGCTTTAAGCCAGCACTGGGGCCTGCAAAGCCTGTGATGGTGCACCAAGATTTGGGTCTTGGAAATTCAGGGAACAACATTAGCAGCTCAAATACCAGCCCCTTCTGAAGTCCTTGCTTACTTACTGCTTGTGCAGTAAGTTTTAATGCAATTATTTCAACTACCTTCTATATCATGTTTCCACCAAGTGCTGTTTTGTTTTGAGCTGAATCTAGGACTGCAAAAACTTTGCCCTCTCCATTCCTCCTCTTTGTCATTCCCATCCTGGTTCTTCAGTTGCCTCTCAGGCCCTGGTGGAAAGGATTTTCTCCCACCAGGTGACAAGTGGCATCTTTCATCTCTCTCGGTAGCCCCTGGCAGCATCCAAAAGCTGCTGTATCTGTTTAGCTTCCTTCAGCTGACACGTGGCACTCCTAGGCACTCCAGTGCCTCCAGAAGTTTGTCGCCCCACTGCTCACTCCTGAACATTTGCATCCCTGCTGCTCACCTCTGTGACAGCAGCAGAGTGCCCTGAGCCTGAGGACTTCAGCAAGCCACCAGCCTCTGCTGAGATACGAGCATGAAGCGTGGTTAAACAGCCAGAACTCTTCACGATGTCTCACATGCTTGGTTTGTTCTCTCCTATAGTCTCAGAAAGGAAAGCCCAATGAGTCTGAGTACGGGAACATTGCCTACCCCCCTGCAGTGAGGAACATGCACACCAAGGCCTCACGAAAATCCTCCAAGTAAGAGCTCACCTAAACCAGAGGCCTAGCCTCTGGCAGCAGTCTCCCTGCTGGCCTGGCTGGCTGCTTCTTCCTGTTCACTTTTCCCCTCGTTTTCCCCTGGTCTTACAGGCAGAAAGAGGAGTCCACGGTTTACGAGAACCTGGGGAAAAAGGAGGAGAAGGCGCGGAAACAGCGCTCCTCAGAGAAGAAGCTGAAGGGATCACTGAAGAAGAAATAAATGCACATTGCAGGTAGCCCCATGGGGATTTTGAACCCGGGCTGCAGGACTGGAGCTGACGTCCAGGGTGGCCTGTCTCACATTGCTCACTCTTGGCCTGGATCTAGGCCTTCCCCTTCTCTTCGTGTTCCTTTCAGTGCCCTGAGCCAGGCTTCAGCATCTCTTGCCCGTGCAGCCCAGCGAAGGCTCCTGCTGCACCTTCACTATTCATTAACAGGGAACAACAAAAAAAACCATCCCCCTTCTTCCCCTTGCTTTCTGAGCACCGGGGCCCAAATTCGCCTCTGCTGTGCCAGCTCCAGCTGACTTCTTGAGGAGGAGCTAAGGAAGGTCCTCACAGGAGCTGCATCTCTGCACCACTGCTGTGAGTTAGAGCTTAGCCTGGTAGTGTTCCTCATCTTCCCAAGTCTGGAGGTTTTGACCCATTTCAGCTCAGCTCTGTAATTCAACAGGAAATTTCCTTTTGCCTTAATGCCAACCCTCTGCCCTAAGATGCCTTTTGTACTTGATCCTTCAAGTGGATGCTGTAAATATATATCAGAATTTTATGTGATGGCCATCTTTTCTTCTTTGTAAATAAACTGGTGTTTGTTTGAACGCTGAGTCCCAAAAGTTGTTTTATTTCTCTAATTTCTCTTTGAGTATACCTGTCCTCCTGGCTTCACTTGCAGCCCTGCAAAGACTTGCAAGAATAGCTCTTCCTGCAGCCTTCAGACTCCTGAACAGAAGCTGTGACCAATGAGGGTGGCTCCTTGCTGTGAGACTTGAGTTTTGGCAATCCTCAGTTTGAGTGCAAAAAGTTACCTGTGAAACACTCAGGTGCAGGCTTTTTGCAGTTGAATTCTTGGTATTTGGAAAAGTTGTTCTTGTGTCCCCAAATCATTTTGTTGTGCCATGGAGATGATGGTAGTGGCAAATAATAAAACCAGAGGCAACGCTCTCAAATTGCAGCTTGGGAAGTTCAGGTGACTGGTTTTATCACACAGATGCTCAGAAGGGAAGCTCTGTCCTTGCAGGATTTTGTTACCTGAACGTACAAGGCCCCAGCTGATCTGACCTAGTGCTGGTAACAGTGCCACTTGCAGCAGCAGTGGACTCAAGACCTCCAGAGGTCCCCTCCCACCACTATTTATATCATAAGAGCCATCTTTCAAGAGCACGGGAGCAGTCAGTGCCAATGCGTCAGCCAAGCAAGCGAGGCAGAAGGCTAGCTTGGCTGAACCTCTTGTAAAAGGAAGCGCCTGGACTTGGGAAGCAAAGTCAGGCTACACAGGAGAAAGGCTACAGAGATGGAGTCTGCTGCTGTAAGGAGAAAATTTGTATGGCCTAAGCTAAGTTGGAGTAGAAGCTGGCCAGTGCTGCGGTGAGTGAAGGCTTTTTAAAGTATGTTAACAGCAAGAGGAAGACTAAAGCAAGCACTGGTCTGTGACTTGATGAGGTTGGCCATCTCATCCCCAAAGAGAGATGAAGGTAAAGCAGAGACAGGGCCTTCTTCACCTCTGTCTTTAACACTGTGGTCCCTGGGCCCACCTTTAGAGTCCTGGGCTGGAGGACTGCAACAGAGGGCAGTGATAAGTGCCCAGTTGACTTTGGACTTGTACGGGATTTGCTGCTGCAGCTGAGCGTACCCAGGTCTACGAGGCCTGAAGAGATTCATCCCAGGGTGCTGAAGAGTTGGCCGATATTATTGCAAGACCTCGCTCGGTTATTTATCAAGTCTTGGGTATCTGGAGAGGTCCCAGTTGCTTAGAAGTTAGCAGATGTTATTCCAGTATTCAAGAAGGGCAAGAAAGAAGACCCTGGTAATGACAGGCCTGCCACTTTCACTCTGGTGCCTGGTAAAATTAGGGAGATTATTCTGGGAGTTACTGAAGACTTTAAAGATAATGCAGACATCGATCAAAGCCAGCATGAGTTCACGGAGGGAAAGTCATGCCTTACTACCTTAATAATCTTTCACGACAATGTTACCTACATAGTAGACAAAGGCAAGGCAGCAGATGTGGATTTTTGGGGGGTGGTTAGCAAAGCTTTTGCTACTGTCTCTCACAGTACCCTTCTGGCCAACATCCAGCATACAGACACACCACACGATGGCAGAACCATTGGCTGAAGGGTCAGGCTCAAAGACTTGTAGTAAAGGGGGTAACATCCAGCTGGTGGCCACTCACCAGTGGTGTTCCCCAGAGCTCGATTTTAAGGCCCGTTCTCTTCAAAGCCGCTACTGATGACCATGACAGAGAAGTTGAGCGCACACTGAGCTTGCCAACAATACTAAATTAGGAGAAGCCGTTGATTCCCTGGAGTGAAGAGAGGCCTTACAGCGATCTCAAGCAAGCTGGGGAACCACCAACCATCTGAAATTTAACAAGAACAAATGCCAGGCTGTGCACCCAGAATGGTGTGATCCTGGGTGTACGTACAGGCCAAGGGGACAAGAGGCTGGAGTGCACCCCCAGAGAGGAATCCGGGCATTTTGGGAAGCTTCATGAGCCAACGTGCCCTTGCCACCAATATCCTGGGGTGCAGCCCCAGAGAGGAATCCGGGCATTTTGGGAAGCTCCATGAGCCAACATGCCCTTGCCAACGTTATCGTGGGGTGCACTGGGCACACTGCAGTTACCTGGCCAAGAGAAGCGATGGTCCCACTATGTGCAGCACAGGTCCAGCATCACCTTGAGTACTGTGTGCATTTTTGGGCTCTACAATGTAAGGAGGATATAAAAATCTGTGTCCAGAGGAGGGCAAAAATGGTGAACAAGGACAGGATTTATGAGAAACAGCTGAGGAAACCAGGTTTGTTCAGTTTAGAGGAAACTGGGGGTGACCTCATTGCTGTCTACAGCTTCCTCATCAGGAGAAGCAGAGAGGGAGGCACTGATCACTTTGGTGCCCAGCAATGCGACACAAGGGCACGGCTTAGAGCTGCACCAGCACAAGTGCAGACAGGATATTAGGAAAAAGTTCTCCACTGAGAGTGGCCAAGCTTCTTGGGAAGTGGTTAAGGCCCCAGGCCTGTCTGTGGCTGCATGAGCACCCACACCTGCTCAGCCTCTCCACTCCCCACCATTTCCCCGTGAGCAGGAGGGCATTTGCCTTGCCCCTTTCCCCACCACATCCTGGTCCTGCCTTCAATCAAATAAAAGCTGCATTCCCCTTCCGCTACACAAACTATTTCTCCAGCACTAAGTACACTCAGACACAGTATAAATTTGGAGGGTTTTAATTTTTAAAAATGTTTGGAAGAATCACTGAGCAGTGACACGCAGAGCTATTCCAGCAGTGATAAGCACCCAATGAATTACATTTTCCTGAATTCAGTCCCAGGTTCTCTTATGATCAAGAGCGAAAGAGAAACAAAATTCACTAGAAAATAAGCCTGGTGCTGATGGCAGCAGAACTCCCTCACTTGGCAAAAAAAAAATAAATCAAAAAGAATCTGATTTTACCCTACAGAAATCTAAAGATTAATGAAAGCCAGAGGTGAATTACTATATCCACATGGTTAACGCCAGTTAGCACCCTTGTCCCCTCCCCAAATGTAACTGGTGGGGTGAGGAATGGATTACAGCTGCCCCGCGGCACAGCTCAATCCCAGAACTGCATCACCACAGACGGAGCAGGGGCATGGGAACCAAATCTGGCTACTGGGTTAGCAACTTCCAAGTGAGGGCAAACGGTGCCAGTGGAGGGAGTTCAGAGCTCCTCGCTCATCTTCTGCTGGTCAGTGCCGCTGGTTCGAGGAGGCTTCAGTTTCCTTCATTTCTTCCCTTGTTTGAGTAGGAGGCTGTCACTGCAAGGGAGACAGGAGCGAGGCGTTAGTTCAGAAAGCAGAAGCAAAACTGAACCAGACCCTCACTACAGCCTTGGGGGTGTAGGGTGTCACACCCAAAGGGTCTGGACTTCAAGTCCTTCCCACCAGGCACTTTTTCCAAAGCCCCCAAAGCTTTCTGGGATGAGTAAGAGAGAATCTGGTTAGAGGTAAGGAAGATGGATCTTGCTATCAGAGATCCCACAGAAAAGAAACCAGCTCTGGCTTCCCTTCTTGATTCTCAGAAATCCAAGCTTTTAGCTGCACGCTATTAGCTCAGCTGCCACTGCCTGGTCCAGTAACACAGGACAGATGAGGCAAAGCCACCAAACTCCTGGCAGCTCTGAAAGCAGGCAATGGGGTTTTTCAGCATGGGCTGGAAAGCTTTCGGGGAGTAACAAGGGCATCTTCCCCAGAGATGGCTACCCCAAATTAATACAAATTCCTACGATTGTCTATATGCCTTTCTACAGCCCTCTCTGCCATAAATGCAGGATGCCCTGTATATGTGGGAGGGATCAGAGAGCACGCTCCTCAGTTACTCCTGCCTTCCTCATGCAAGGTTTCCTATGGGACACACACAGAGCTCCAGTTATGGAGTATCTGCTGCTTGATGTAGATATTTGTGTGGAGCCCACAAGGAAGGGCTTCAAGCTTCACATCACAAATGAGAACTGTGGCAGAGGTGGAATAAACTTCCCATGGCCAGAAAGGCCCAAGCCAGAAACACCCCAGGCGAACACCAACAGCCTTGTTCCAAGCACCAGCGAAAGGATCACAACAACCAGTGCTTACCTTCCTCTGCATGGCAGGAGATGCAGTAAACGGGGGAGAAAAGGAAGAAAAACAAGAGTAAATTTATTAGATTTAATACAAAAATATCAATTTCCACAGTAAGAGTGCTCCCTGCTTGGCTGTGTCCTCTGGCATCAGGCTCTTCTCAAAGATCCTGAGAGAGCTCCAGAAGGGGGACCAGCTCCACAGTAGGGTGCAGATAAACCCACCCCCAGCAGCCACCTGGCCCCGTTACCTGGTGAAGCCCTCATCCTGCAGGTTCAGGACCAAGTTGTCTGCTGTGAGATACACACGGTTTTGGGAGCCAGCAATCTGAAAAAGAAACCCAGTGCAGAGATGGTGTCAAGAAGAGTATAAAGGCACATGGAGGAACAGCACTAAAAAAAACAATGAATAAAAAACCCCAACTATCTCCCCCTCCAGATACAGCACTCATTTGTATTCATTTACGATCTCTTAAATCAGTAAAACTCCCCCAAAACAACTCTGTAACTGCCTGCCCTCCCATCTCAGTGCCATCAGACCTTCCAACAGTGCTCATTCTGTCTCCCTGTCAGATCTTTGATCCCACTCTTATCTGTCCCCTCTTCTCAGCCTGCAGGAAACCAGGAGTTTTTGGTAGCTGCAGCTGGGGGTGGGTGATGGACTCTAATGTGGATCTGGCCTCATCACATGGAAGGCGTGAACTTTCAGCCTCACATCGAATTGCCGATCATTGCAAGGTAAATCTTAAGCTCTCTTTGAGCAGAGAAGAGCGGGGCAGGAACAAAGATCAGGACAGGGCAGGTCACATTCGCCTTAAACTCATCACACGGCCACTGTGCTGGGAGGACGGTGTGTGGACTGCAGAAGGATGAAGGAAATCCTGTGCTCCAGCACTCACCGTTTTTGAGATGTTCTGAGCAGCGCGGATCTTACGTAGCTTGATGTAGCCTGGATTACTGCTGAGAGCCTCACCGAGGTACAGGGGAGCAAAAGTTAAGGAAAAAACTGCTAACAGAAGCTGTCTGCCCTCAAGGAATTCTTCCTAAGCCGTATCATCAAACATCTTGGATGAAAAAGCAATCTCTGTCCCAATGACTTGGGCTTTTGGGCAGGGATATTTTCACCTCCCCAAATCAAGAACAACATTATGGATTACGGTCACATACAGCCAATGAAAGTTAAATCTTACAACAGGAAATGCAGGCTCATGGTCTTCTCTGCTCTGACCTGAAATCAGCTGTAAGGGAACAAAACCACCCAAGAGTGACCTACTTGAAGCTACCGCCTTATAACCGTCTGCTAAACATCAGCCTGATGTGACAGATTCTCAGGACCATCAAGCTCTCAAGTCACCCAATCTCCCAAAGGCAGGATATCATCTTGGCAGCTGTCGCTTCCCCTTCAGCCTGAACAATCTTCTGCTTCTGCTCCTGCTTGGCCTTCTCCACCAGAAACTGCGCCCGCTGTGCCTCCTGCTGGGCTGAGGAGAGAACGGCCAACAGCGTTCAAAGCACACCCCATTTTCTGAGCCCTGCACCAGCACCCTACAGCTGAGGCCTGGGGGGGCAACTTCCAAAAGAACTGACAACGTTCTGGGGCCACGTCCTGGATGCCCCCTCCCTGGAAGTGTTCAAGGCCAGGTTGGATGGAGCTCTGAGCAGTCTGGTCTGGTGGGAGGTGTCCCTGCCCATGGCAGGGGGTTGGACTGGATGAGCTTTAAGGTCTCTCCCAGTGCAAACCATTCTGTGATTTTATCTATGAAATAAGAAATGCACTTAAGCATAGTTTACTTTTTCTTAAATGAAATCAACTGCATCCAGACCCTCTGAGCATAATCCCCATAGTACGTGACAGAGCCCATGCCTGGAGGGGAACCTCACTGTCCCACCGATGGTCTCTCCCATTAGTTATCACTCCGAGTTTTCTGGTAATGCATTGCTAAGGAGGATGAGATTTATAACTCTGTGGCTGTAGCAGTGCAAAAGCAATGACACACTGGCCCAAATTCTGCTTCCTTGTTTAATAATTCAGTGAAAAGGCAAAGTCAATCCACCCTTTCCAGGCATAACTTGAACTCACCCACTTGCTTAGCCTCCACGGCTGCTGTGTATTCACGACTGAAACTGAGCTCTGTGATAGCCACATCGTCCAGGATGAGGCTGAAGTCCTTGGCCCTCTCTGTCAGCTCTCGCCTGATGAGCAGAGACACCTGAAACACAAACACAACAAAAAGAGCCCCGTATGCAGGCTGCTCCTCCCTTCCTGTGCACTCCAAAAGCAAAGCACCGCTGCTCTTCCCAGTTCATTCACACTGGGCCCCAGAGAGACATTACCTAAAACAAACCCTGAGACATGGACCTTAATATCATCCCTGAATCTGTCGCCTCTAAATAATGCTGCATATCCATAGCTACGTACCACATTCTCAGAAGTATATTACAGCTCATTTGTAGTTATTATTTAACCACGCTGTACAATTCATATTGCAAAAGTGAAGAAAGGTCTTTAAAGTTTTTTTGTTCTCCCATCCTATCCCATCTCGTTCCACAGTTCCTACATGTTTTGGCAACAGGTGTTTTCTTCTCCATCCTCAATTTGCCATTGCTGGGAATTCAGCTGTCTCCCCATCCTTATACTCGGATTAAGAAAATAAAAACTACTGCTCCACATTGTAGATCTACCACGTCTCTCAACTACTGTAGTTACTTATCCAGTGCAGCTACTCTGCTCTTTTTTAGTCTCTTTGGATCAGCATTGTTGGTGGGTGGTTGGTTTTTATTTATTCTACTCATTTCTGAGTTGGCTTTACCTTGCCAGTATCTTTTTTTCAGGCAGGCTGACAAGTCCTGCACCAAATTACTGCTACAGTATCACATCAGCATTTGCTTTTACTTTCCCTGCAGCTGTTTCTGAGCAGAATTCTAAAACGGTGCCAGAAACCTTTACTGTGTGAACTGTGAGTGTATAACAACGTCAAGTCACTTCTGACTTTCTTCTGATTATCAATCACTTCAATACGCATCGCTCCACAGTAATGAACACTGGGTGAATATATGACAAGACGACAAATTCAATTCAGTTTGCTCAGCAACTTGAGAGGTACTCAACAGTCATCTTTGTTTCCAATAAACCTAAATCCCTTGCAGGCGTCGTTTCTTTGCCGTCACACCCTCCCTTTATACAAGATCACTACCAAATCCCTGCAGCACACACCATGTGGCCTAGCACAAAACCCTGAAGTCCTGCTATGAATCAGCTCTCACAAGACCTGGGTGTTTAGCTCTACTCTTTGCCATTTTGTCACGGACCAGCACCTAGAGATGCTCTGCATTTCATCTTTCTGACAACTTATCAAAGCCTTGCAAAAGCAGCAGCAACTTCTCTCTCCCTCAGCTGTAACAGGGGATAGATATTCTCAGAATCTTTGGCAATCAAATTATCAGAACACAAGCTGTCAGGTATAGGCTTTTTTAAGCTAAATTTCTACCATTTTGCACCACCCCTTGATTACCCTCTAATCTTTTTCTAAACAGAAATATTCGCTACCCTTCTGCTGCAATCCAATACTTAAAGTTCATTGTTTTGCTAACTGTTCATCCACTTTGCTTTTCAGATACTTTCAGACTCTTTAATTTGCTCTGACAGCTCTTCTGAGACCCATGAAGGGCCAAGTAACAATTTTTTTAAACCCAGTTTCCACTGTCACCTGTGGACTATGGTGTAAATCAACTCTCCCTCCCCAGCCAATACAGTATGGTGCAGTTTTGCACTCTACACACCAATGAATACAGCTTTCTTCTCAGAAAGTAATGGTACAGCCTTAGTGTTTGCACCTGTGTCAGATCCAAACTGTAAGCAGGACACAAGTCCATGCCCTTTCCATTTGGCTGCACTATCTACCAAATATATTTATCCTTCATCTGTTATAATGTTCGCCACAGCCACAAGTTTAGCGGTATCTCTGCAATCCGAGTGTAAGCCTCGTCCAGAAGGGTTCACCTGAGCTCTCTGCGTGATGAGCTGCGAGGCATTGAACTTGGCCACCACGCTCTTAAGCACTTCGTTCACGATGGATGGCAGGACTCGCTCCTCGTAGTCCAGGCCCAGGCGCTGGTACATGCTGGGCAGCTCTGCGGCATTGGGGCGGGTGAGGACACGCAGTGAAATGTTCACCATCTGCAAGTCTGCAGAGGAGATGGGAGGGAGATGAGAGGGGCCAGCGCCGCAGCTGGACTCTGCCCATCCCTCCCCTCCCTCCCTTCCTCTGCTGTCCCCTGGACCTCGTGTTCTGGCCGGCGGGGCCGCTCTCACCTTTGGAGCCGGTGGGGGAGGAGATTTTCCGCGGCCGGGCTCGAATATCGTAGATGATGGGATACTGGA